GTATTTCTCAGAGGCTTTCCTGGGAGATTGGGGTTGCTGCTGACTTAGCAGTGCCCTAGAATGGCCTTGCCTGCCCTTTTAATCAGAAGAAAGTGATTAGTATCAGTTTGGACAGTGATGACTCCAGGATAATCCACTTAGATGCTGAGAGCTGCACCAGGGTCAGGAGCGCTTTTGAGAGGGGTTCAATCTGCCCCTGCAGTGTCCTGAACACAGCACCGTGTAAAACTACAGGTGCCCACCCGGTGCAGGCTAGGTATTTAAGGTGATATTTAAGTCATTTTTTATTCTTTTTAAATAATATTTTTATTAATTTGTTGAGAATTTCATAGTGTATTTTGATCATATTCACTCTGTCCCCATTATATTTCATTCTTTAAAAGTTATTTCCATTTTTTTTACTCCTTTTTCCAATGTTTTGGTGTTTTTAAGGAACATTGTAGTACAGGTAACCCTAGACAGGGTAGTATGTAGGTATGTGATGATTACATAAGAATCCGTGAGGCCTCCTGGCCTTGGCGCTCAGTGAGCTGCTAACAGCAGCTACTTCTGCTGTCTCTTCTCTGCTGTAACAAGTGTATTGACTTTTAATGTAATACTCAGCCCAAAAGTTTGTATATTGCTTCCTGAGTTTTCAATATCTTGTTTAGAAACTTGATTATCCTTTGATCATATAAAAATACTTGTTTTCCGATGCTCTAAATTTTTTCCCGAAGCCAAAAATTCCATTCATATGAGATGGTAAAGTGCTTTAGAAAAGAGAAAAAGAAAGAGCCTGGCAAATCTCTGGTCCATTTCTCTGTAAGTCGTTGTCATTGCTTTCTCAGGAAGTGCAGGCGGCGGCGGCGGCGGCGGCGGCGGCGGCGGCGTGCTCTAAGATGGCCACGTCAGCTCGAAGGGCAGCGCAGCCTGACCTCCATCTCCACTGCTCGTTCTAAGTGTGCTCCTGCTTCTTGACTTTTGTCTGTTCCCAGCAGCTAGAATGTTAACAGTATTCACTACCTTTGTATTAATCGATGCCCTACTTCTGTTCTGTCCCTACTGTTGGCTGGAAAGTATTTTCAGCACTCCTTCCCACAGTTAATAAGCTTACTCATTAATACATAGGCCCCCAAACTTGGATATTTATGATTTATTTTGGAAAGGAAATAGATAAGGACAGCCTCCATGCTTCTAGGGAGGGTGGGACTCAGACACGGGTTAGCTGGTTTGAGGCGCTCAGTTCCAGTTTCTTGTACACACTAAGCACATGTGCTCATCCATGTCTGGTCCATGTTGAATGAATGGTGCATGGTGTATAAAATCCTCTTCTTTCGTTTTCATGTTAGATGTCCAGCTTCAGCTACCATTTATGAAAAAGGCCTTCCTTTCCCTGTTGATCTAGGTGCGTGTGTGTGTGTGTGTGTGTGTGTGAGAGAGAGAAGCAGGGGGGAGGGGGGGCAGGGAGAGAATATTATATTTCTGGGTTCCTTATTCTTTCCCATTGGTCTGAGTATCTTTAGGCCATTTGTATACCTTTCTGCTTGAAGTAGTGTATTGTTTTCAAATCAGGAAGCGTCATCTTCCAGGATTATTCAGGCTGTTGACATTCCATGTGAGTTTAAAGATGACTTTTTATATTTCTATAAAAATATCATTGAGATATTGGTAGGAATTATCTTGAATTTGGAATATTCAAATCCTAACAATATTGTTTCCTAATTATATGTATCATACTTTAAATATTTGAAAATGAGCTGATTTTATTTCCATTTATATTTATTTGTTAGTGAGCACTTCGCTGTGTGTTAGGTACTAATTTGAAGCTTTAGCATTCAAAAAACGATCAAAGCATATAGTCCATTCTCTGAGGCTCACCAATTAGTAGAAAAGTGAGTAAATGAGCCATCCGCTCCCCCTCCCCATGAGCACTGTTTCAGGCGTCGTCAAGCTCCTATGAGAGTACAGAGCACGGCACTTCTTTGGAGAAGTCAGAGAAGGAGGTGCTTGCTGCTCTTGTTCACTCTGGCCCCTTTAAACCTCCTCTCTGTGAGTCTTTCTCCACGGCCAGCTGAGGACTGCTCTAACGTGTCCAAAGGACGCCATGGTGCAGGCCCTGATGGGTCTGACACTAAATGGGGAGTCAAGACATGCATGTTATGAAAAGTTAAATGGCAATTCAAGGAGAGAATAGAAAGAGACCACAGGATACTTCTGAGTAGTGACCGAGTCCAGTAACAA